ATGAATGGTTGAGGTTGGAGTTGAAGTAGAAGAGCCAGAGGGCACATCCGTTTTCTGTACCTTGGTTGGAGGAGCAGCCTCGCTACCTGAGCCAACATCAACCTTGCGTTTACCGCTACTTCTGGTCTTCTTTAGCTGAGAAAGTTTGGCTTGGAGCTCTGTTGTGGATGGCTTCATCACAGATGACCTTGAGAGCCCAGAACAGATAAGAACATATATGTAGAACGAAAGAAGAAGAGGAGAAGTTAGAAAGGGAAAAGTCAGGGTATACCAGCTGCCTCCTTCGCGCTAACAACAGAGAGGGGAATGGGAGTNGACCTTCTTCTCCTTGTTTCCGGCTCTCTCCTTCCCTGCCTCCAGATCTCGAATAAAAAGAAGCTTGCCTCTGCACCTACTCTTAGAGCTTCTAGTTTCGAATGCAAAGATCTTCGTTGCTAAAAGATAGCTCAAAAACTTTGATCTCGAAGGTCTTTATGACTTTGGATGAACCTTCCAAGGAGCGGATCCTCTCCATCAAACCCTTCACGTGGAGGGCTAGCTAAAAGTAAGAACAGATGAGACAAAGGTTAGCACCAGATTATAACATGCAGGAAAAGAAGAAGGAAAGAGATAGGCATTTACAGCTGTCGCTCCATGAAGAGCTGAGCTTATTGAAGCCTCAAGAGGCATGGAAGAAGCTCTTTGAATGTCAGACTCAGGAAGAATGGAGCTAATCGCCCCAGTAATGAGCTCAATATTGTCAAAGAAGGAGCCCTAGCTACTTTCCACCTTGGGGATTTTTTCTTTCCCAACATTGGTGCCCACAAGGTGTGACGGGGGAAGTTGTCCGGATGTCCCAGGAGAGCTGGAGGTGGGAAGCAAATGAGTAATCATTCCCAAGGCCCTATCAACCTCAGAAGAGGTTGGGGAGATCTACCCTTGCTAAAGAACCCTGTTAGGGGCGAGCGGAGACCCTGTAGGGAAAGAACACTTTCCGACTTACTGATTGGAAGAAGGATGAATGGTTGAGGTTGGAGTTGAAGTAGAAGAGCCAGAGGGCACATCCGTTTTCTGTACCTTGGTTGGAGGAGCAGCCTCGCTACCTGAGCCAACATCAACCTTGCGTTTACCGCTACTTCTGGTCTTCTTTAGCTGAGAAAGTTTGGCTTGGAGCTCTGTTGTGGATGGCTTCATCACAGATGACCTTGAGAGCCCAGAACAGATAAGAACATATATGTAGAACGAAAGAAGAAGAGGAGAAGTTAGAAAGGGAAAAGTCAGGGTATACCAGCTGCCTCCTTCGCGCTAACAACAGAGAGGGGAATGGGAGTTTCTATTGTTACTTCAGGGAGAATAAACCCCTCCGCTACAAGAACCCAAGGTTTGCTGAGCTGCAACCCTCTAAGGACCACGAAATCTACTTGTCTGTAGCACTCAGTTCAGGGCGGATACCTGAGAAGCAGGGTAAAATAAGCAAAAAGAGATCAGCCTAAAAAGACAGTGGGAACCCCAAGCTTATGTTTCTTAAAGAAAATGAGAAGGCCCACTAGATCGCCCCAGAAGTTGGGGGAGATCTGAGCAGGGCAGACGTTAAAGTGTTGCAAAACACTCTTGATAAAGGGGTGCATGGGAAAACGAAGGCCATTGTGGAAGGTGGCCACAAAAAAACATACCTTCTTATGCACTTAGGAGACGTATGGGGTAAATTTGTCTAGGCACCAATATTGGACACTATGAGGAAAACCAAAATGGGCACTAAGAACCTTCATAAGGGAAGGAGTGACCTCGCTGGAGCCTACGAGCTCTGCAGTCCTAAGAGTAGCCCCCGAACCCTCAGCGCTATTGGAGTCACCAGTGTCGCCCACCTTGACTTTACCTTTGTTGGGGTTTTGGGGTGCAGGAGAGGCAGATGAGGGAATCTCCACAAGGTTTCCCTTAGCTTCAACAGAATTGACACCGGAGAATTTGTCAATCTCCTCTCCCACCTCACCTAGATCAGAATCCTCCTTAGTAGATCCATTCCCAAGGGGAGAAACCGAGGAAGGGGTAGCTCCAGAAGGGGAAGACATAGTGGGACAAGAAAAAGAGAGACTAAAGGTGCAATAAAGGGGAGGAATATTTGCAAAACACTCTCTAAGAGTCTAGGGGGCAACACATCAACTACCAATAAAGAAAACCCTAGCAGTTGAATAAGGATCTAAGAAGAGAGGAATATGAGACAGAGATCGACCTCGGTTCCTGAAGTAGCAGAATCGAAAGGTCCAAAAATGCAACAACCACCTCAAATTTGAGGGGTCCAAGACGAAGAAGCACAAAAAAAGACAAGAAACGTACCTAATCTTTCGAAGCGAAAAATGAAGAAGCAAACCTCGCTAAGTCTTCGGGTCAAATTAGAGGAAATCGTCTCTCTGCCAAAGCCCTAAGAACAATAGCGAATTGGGGAAGATGAAGTCACAAAGGAGAGAGGGAAAGCCAAAGAGAATTCGAAGAGTGAGGAGGGAACCGTTGGTCCAGGGGTATTTAAAGCTAACGGAACTAGAGCCTTCGAAGTGGGCAACGTGTATTGGAGAAACTAGGAAGTAAAATGATTACCTGAAACCGTCAAAAACCTATTCGCGCGTACATTGAGGTCCACATCTGGAGGTCTGCCTTAATTAAGCCTCAGCTTAGCCCCTACCCAAGTTCACTGGGGCTAAGGGCTGGGGGACAACTGATAATACTCAGAATAATTTCCAAGTATGAACTCAGGAGCGGAGGTCAGACAAGCAAGTCAGACCAAGAGGTCAGGGAAGACACGCAGAGCTCAAAGGACCAGAGCTGGAGCTCCCCCCAGACATGACAACGGCGAAATTGATAAGGAAACAACTGGATGACAACATAAATCTTTCAAGTGGCAAAGAGCAATATTCAAGGCACAAAATCCTTAACTAGCCAAGATCCTCTCCTAAGATCAAGGAGAGTTCCTCGGATAAATGACAAGGAGCTCTGTGCAGATCTTGCAAAACTAGAGAAAGCCCTATAAATATTAAGTAACGCCCGCCCAGAGGGAGGGAGGAGGCTAGTAACATAGAATCGGTCTTGAAAACCTTTCAGATGATCAATAAAGTAAAAAGAAGCAAGAGCCACCATTAAAGAGTGAATTAGTTGAGCTCTCGAGCTGATGAATCATTATATTTTTATTGTGTCAATCCCGCAATTTCCCATCAATACCAATCCTTATTCTTTTGAGCCTTGCAGCTCGGATCCTAATAATCACATATTGTTCGTACCGTCTGCCCACTACCATAAATTTGCACCATGTTGATTTACACCATCAATCCCAATCGGGTTAATCTCTGCATTTTACAACTCTGCCGAATCTGAGGAAGCTTCTCCCATTTCTAAAGGCAGTGATTAAGACACTGTTGGAAGCTTACCTCCCTCAGATTACAGTGATTAAGAATTTTTCTGTTTTTAAAATTCCTATCTACAAAGTATGCTCCAAAGTTATGGTCAGCTTGTAATTATGATCTGTTCTACATCAACTCCAATTACATCAGCTTGTATCTGGAGGTTAAGCAACATGACTTCTATCATGTTTTGTTTGAAAACTTTGGACAACTATTTCTGCATATAGATTCTGTTTTTAAGTAAGAAAAGAAAGGTTCCACCTCAAAGAATTTCTCAAATTATTAAATCTGTACCCCTTGAACATGAAAAATAAGAAAAGTTATCTTGAAATTGAAAATTTTTTGATGTATCTATAAAAAAATATGAAACAGATTTATACTCTTGTATGTTTAGACTTTGTTCCAGAGGGTAATGGATCTTTTTTTGTCTTCCAAGTAATAAAGTTTTTGTTTGGGGGTAAATAATCGGAAAAAACCTAACATTTTTGATAAGCAAATAATAATAAAGCTCAACTTTGTTTGGGTTATCTGCTTAGATATTTGTATTTTCAGTTTTTGATCTTTGAGTTTGTAAGTTTTGTAAAAACAAATATAAATTTGACTCATAGATTTACAATTGAAATTAAGAAATATAGCTACTAAAATTTTGGCAAAAGCAACGATTATTAGAACTATGAGGTGAGCAAAATAACTGTGAATGTTGTAATCTAAAATTAGTGCAAACAGTGACATGATCATTAGAATTATAACATGCGATTTAAATGAACACATAATTTATATAAACATGCAATTTATATAAACCAAATAAATTGATTTAGAGTGAGTTGGTCTGCGAGTTCGAGAGGTGTTTGATCACTGCCCTAAAGTAGTTGAGTCTCCCCATGTGAGGGTACTAACGGATACCAACAATTCCAAGATTCAACTCAGACGCTCGCAGCTACACCTCCTCAATGGTCACGTCCACTGGAAGGTTAGGTTAAATCTGACTCAAATTGAGTTGTCCAAAAACAAAGATAATAGAGAATAATTGTATAGGAATATTTATATAGATGTGACTGAACTCAATGTTGGAAGAATATGGATATAAAAGTAAATGAAATATAATGTGGGATAGGGAGAAGTCTATTGGCGTAGACTAGTATAGCCAAGCAAAGGTGAAAAACATGTAAAGGAATATACCAGAAGGTTGAATTCGTTTTGTTTTTTTCCAAAATTGTTTTTTAAAGCCACTTATATAGCCATTGGTTTAGTAACCCACACACATAAGCCATTACAACTTCTGACCGTTTGGCCATAAAACTATTTTTAAAATGATTAATTTTTATTCTTTAATATACACAATAAATTGGACAAAAATCTGTAACTGAAAATTCAATAATTTAAACTCAATTAAAATGAAAATTCAATGAAAAGTTTTAAAAACTTAATTTTATTATTACAAGCTTTTATTTATCTGTTAGCCATTGGTACGACATTTGAGTTTTTTTTTTAACACTATAGAATCATCAAATTCAGTATTATGAGTTTTCTGTTTGCATTTGCTTTTTCTAAATACAATACAACCAAAAGTGTTTTGCCTTTGTGGTGCTAGTAAGATGAGTTAACTTATATTCTTGATTTTATGGAACTTAGGTTCTTTGTTGGCTATGGTCTTGAGCTGTTCCGGGTAGTTCCTTTGACAATATTCCACATCAAGAGGAAGTACCTTTGCAAAACTAAAGCTGAATTGAAAGAAGCTTGGGCTCCTGGAGATCTTGAATATGGAACTAGGGTTCCTGGTGACATGCTGATAGTCACAATTGTCTTTTGCTACTCTGTAATAGTTCCAATAATTATTCCATTTGGTGTCGTATACTTTGGCCTCGGATGGCTTATTCTCCGGAATCGGGTGATGTGTAGTAACTTATTTTCATATACTTCTGAAGTTTCAATTCCAATTTCAAGGAACTATTGTGAAAATAGTTCATTCACTAGTCTTAACATTGGCCTTTAATTTGGTGTTGGCATTGTACTGCAAAATGCATATCGATGTGTATGTGGTGTTGAAATAAGATAGAAAGTAACCACCGACTACATTCAAAATTTCGTTTCTATGTATGATTTCGATTAGTTCAAAAATGGAAGCGTTTCAAAAATATTTTGGAAATAAAAAAGAAACAAAGGAAAAATTTGGAAACTTGTTTCCCAAACAATGGCCGAAACATTTTGAAATACCTCAAAATATTTCTGAACTCCTTGAAAATCAAACCCTTTTATCTTTAGTTCTTCTCGCTCCAAATTTTCCACTTTTTGGTTTCTTCTAGTAGTTGCTCCCAATGAAATTATAATCCTTGCCCCGGACATTTGTTTTAGCCTGCGATGACATGATAACTCGTGGAAGTTGTTTCAGATCAAAGTTGTTAAATGTGTGTAACACCTTAAGCTTATGAAAAAACAAATATTTACCTTTTTCTTTAGCTGCCCCCTGATTCAATTTCCCATTTTTGAAATTTTCTTCAAACATTTGTTACACTTTAAAAACAGGTACTTAAAGTTTGTGTTCCATCGTATGAGAGCTATGGAAGGATGTGGCCTCACATTCACATGCACGTCTTAGCTTCCTTGCTCCTATTTGAAGTCACCATTTTTGGTTACTTTGGCGTGAAGAAGTTCTACTACGCTCCATTTCTGATTCCCCTTCCGATACTGTCCTTGATCTTCACCTTCGTTTGTAGAAAGAAATTCTATCAATTTTTCCAAGCAACAGCTCTTGAAGTAGCTTATCGTGAATTGAAGGAAATTCCAAACATGGAACTTGTCTTAAGATCTTTCATTCCACCAAGCTTGAGCGCCGAGAAGTCTGATGATGATCAGTTTGAAGAAGCTTTGTCTCAAGTTTCAAGGAAAGGTTCATTTGTTTGATGCACATATGTGAAACACGGCTGAATTTTTCAGTGTTGACAGTTTGCATTAGGAACCATGTCTGTAATATATTGTGTGTTTTGGTAATTGTGTGAGAATGTTTGTATCTACTCCTGTTTGATGCAAAGGGTGATATAAGATTCATCGTTTACTACATCTCATTTTGTATAAGCTCATCTGTGGAAATGGATTCATTGATTTATTTCCAGTTTCAGCCATGGTTCCTTGGTTCACACTATGTATCGAGTCGGCTTAGTTGTGTCTAACTCTACACCTTTCATTGTAAGATTACCATGAGTAGTCTGACTCACTTTTTGTGATGTCGGCACACCTTTTATGCGTTTTTATATAGCGTTAATCTCTTGTTATGTGCAAACTTATTCTTCTACCCAACACTTGTTCCGTATTACTTATATTGTTCGACGGTGCCCTATAAATTGCGAATGTAACGATCTTAAACCATGATCTAATAGTCTTATATTATTGTATGCTTGGCAAATGTGGAAACAAAAACATTGTCTTCGTAGGGTGGGGTTGGGGGTGTTGGAGAAAATGCTTTCTTTTCCAAAACCAGAACTATGGAAGTTGGTAGGGAAGCACAAGTTCAGTTTTATTAGGTGCAGACTCACCATGGTTTTTTGTATTCTTCAAGTCCCTTTCTCAACTCCAGACTTACAGACAGAATTCCAGACTTGGCCGGCCAATCCAAAGTTAACCCGAAATATTCAGTATTTTGCTAGAGATTTCTAATACTAAGGTTTGTCTTGAACCAAAATTTTCAATTCGATTTAAATTCAGGCAATACTCAATTTCAAGTCTCGGATTCTCGGGAGCCACCTCGAATTTAACCCAAATGTGTAGATTAATATCTAATCTGAATTTGAATCGAATTAAACTAAAATTTTAGCCCAAGTTGTGTAACCTGAAAATCAAAATCAAGTTAACCAAGACTTAATTCCAAATAAACTTGAATTCTAGTTGGACTTGGATAAAATAAAAATGAATTTGAATTGAACCCTATTTTAACTGGAGTTATTTGACTCAAGTTCAACTTGAATTTAGAAAATTAAACACGAGGAATACTGGGGATGAATGGTCTTGGTTGAATTTGGTATACAAATTTTGGATTGAACCAGTTGAAATTTTTTTATATTACGAATAGAGTTTGAATTGTACTCTCAACCTCTTTAATCTGCCCAAGCTGCACCCGTACTTCACTTCAAATAGTTGAGGGATTCAATACTGTCAACAAGTTAAAGGTGGTCCAACCAACCCTTAGCTAGCATTAAGCCCCTTAATTATAAGACATAATTGTGGACTTTAATAGCAACCCAACTTTTAGAAAACCCAAAATTACTAGACTCGATATTGGGCTGGTCAAACAAACATTTAAAACTATATGAGATGTCTCTTATTCAATTTTTGTAACAATTTTCTATATTTCCTTGATCTTTCTCATCATCCCACTGCCGGCTCGACAGTAAAGTAAAAAAAGTGTGCGATTTAAGCTTGAAGGATGAGAGTAAATTTGGACAAGAATAAAAAGGAAAACGTAAAAAAGCAATTTTTTTTTTGTTAAAAAAATGCTTTTAAATTTTTTTTTTTATATATTTTTTTGTTTGAAAATTCAAAGAAGTACATCGGAAAAGGAATCAGTATATTGCCTTTTGCAGCCATTATTCAAATGTATATGTATTTCATTGCATATTCAAACGCACACAGTGCACAATATTTAACTTATTTTTTGGGCATGATAGAGTAAAGGTTCTTTGCCTTGTGTCATTTTAGGGCATATGCAATTAATTAAGTGAATATTTAATGTAAAAGTGACACTATATTATCACTATTACGTAATGTCATCATTTAATATTGTTGCTCTAAAATCTTTTGGGATTGATAAATATATCCCAATCGATAGATAGTTTTCATGTGACTGTTTATAAGGGATTCAAATATCGTATTTCAAAATTTCATTAGACGAGAAATAATGAACAAACACACAGTGCAAGGAAGTAATAAAAGATGATTTCTTTATTAATTCAATTGAAAAGACTTAGGTGACAGAAAGACTGAATAAAAAACATTGATTGCAGTAATAACTATCTTCTAAAACTATATTAAAACTACTCCCAATAAAGTCCAGATCATGGGACTTTGGGGGTTTGAGTGTATCATGTCTTCTCTACTAAATACCCTTTTCATAGTCATTGTCTTCAACGGTTTTTGCTCATATTGATGGTTATTAACGGGTAACTTATAGCTAGTTAATCTTCTTTCTTATCAAATATGACTATGACTGATCATCTACCGTCTTTCTTTAAATTTTGTGATATTACATTTTCTTGATACACCTGGGATGCTAAGTGTCGATACATTGAATATTCTCAAGATTTGATATTTTAAATCCAAACAATGCCCCCTAATTTATTTTGAGTTTGAGTGATTACTCAGATAAATGAACAGTTGTAATTGTTTAGCTTTTGAACACCTATTTAAAGGTTTCATTCTTCAATTCCTTATTAATCCTAGGTACATCATTCAGGATTCAATAGCTGACAACATTTTGATCCCTTCTCTGGATTCTAGCTCAAATTTTGCATTGNACTAATCTTAGGAACATCATGCGGGATTCAATAGATGACAACATTTTGATCCATTCTCTAGATTCTGGCTCAAATTTTGCATTGGGTCCTGCCTTCAAATCAGGCATCTTTCCAAGGCTATTTGAGCATTATCCTATTTCCCAAGGGGAAATTTTGACGCTTCATCATCCTCACCTTCAGTGGAAATCTTGGGACCAAGGGCTTAGTCCTTTGAAGTCTTGAGTTGATTCAAACCAACAATGGTTTGACCAGGCAGAACGAATGGAGAAAAAAATTTCTCTAACCAATGGAAGGATTATAAAATCCATGAACAAATAAAGCTCTCAATGAGCTCGTTGTACATGAATTGTTGGCTCATAGGTGCAACCACCTATTTTTGGTCACAATCTTGCAATGCCATGATACTTCCTTTTGCCATGATGTCTCCATCTATCCTTAATGTTGTACAATTGAAGGGGTTGTCATTGACTGGGATAGAGGTAACTATATGTCTAAAACTTGAACACATTCTGCCAGATCTTCCAAATAACTTTAATTATTCAAACCATGTAACCTTTTTTTGTAAGTCAAACTTTGTCACTCTTGCTTATGAAGAACATGTAGCTTTCCTCCTTCATTGGCTTTGTTGCTTTGTATCTCTAGTCTCAAGATTACTAGGGAGTACTTGAACATTGCTATTTTTTTGGTCAATCGAAAAGTTCTAGCCTTAGCTCTTTTTGGGTTAGGAGCCTTTCATAGAGAGTTTTTTTTTTTACATGGATGAAAGGAGAATCGACAATAATTGTGGAGGATTTTTTTGCCTATCCCAAAGCATGGCTATATGCCTATTTTCCTAAAACTTGGTCCATCGAATATCTCCCTTTACCAACATTTAGTCCTATTAATTATGCATATTACTTTCTTATGTTAGTTTCCCAATTTCTGCATAAGGATTTTAATTTTTACTTAAAGGCATTATATGACTTGGCCTTCGATAGGTATACTTCTATTTTCTTGCCTTTTCCAAATGCGTTTACTAATCTTTACTCCTTAGAGCATTCTTCGATGACTCCATCGATCCTACTGGTGAGCAAGCCGATTATCTCCACACATTTTGAGGGCATTGTTCTTCTTCCTCACTAACACCATGTAGGCAGTAAGAATTTGAATTAAAATTAAATAAGTATAATATTATCTTAAGAGTTCTCCTAATACGAATAAAATGATGTTAGAAACTTAGAATAATTGTTAAAATATTGATTTTAAAGTTTAAGTTCAAACGTATTTGACTTTCGGAATAAATTGAGTTTTAAAGGTGTTTAAGGTTGATAAGGGTAACTAAGTAAAAAAATTAATTTTTTTAAGTCAAAATAATATTATCATTGATCTTGGGAGATCTGAAAAACTTGAAAGAACCATTTAGCAAATATAGCGGTTCGGAGGAATAAAATAGTAATTTAAGTGTTTCGAGTGTAAATTTACATTAGTTTTGAGATAAATCATAAAACTAAATTTTTTTATGTTAAAATAACATTAAAAATGAATCCGAAACGTCGAAAAACCTTAGAGTAGTCATATGAATCAAATTAGAGATTTTTAGTGGTAAAATCGTAATTTTGGAGAAAACCCAAATTTCAACCCATGAACAGTAACTTTCGGGACTATTGTTTTTAAAACACATATTTCAGCCCATTTTCTTCCATTCTTTCATTTCACTCTCACCCAAAACCTCTTAGAACCCTAGGAGAAGATAAAGGGAAAAAGAAAAAGGAAGAAGAAAGTTTTTAAAGCTTAGGTTTTGCTTGGAATTCTTGATTTCTAGGTAAGGGTTTCTTCTAACTTTTGTTCATTGAGGTTAGGAATTATATATATATATATATATATATATATATATATATTGACTCTAAATTTTAGTTATATGTTATGAAATCATGGTTTCATGATGTCCTTGCAAATCCTATCATGTCTGGAATGAAGTTATGGTTGATAGGCCATGAAATCCTTGTTGTAATCTCAAAACTCTTGTTTCTTTTAAAAAATAAAGATTTTTCTTCTTAATATTCTTTTAATTTCAAAAATCTAGTGCTTCATTTGAATAATAAAAATATATGTTTGATGATCTCTTGCATATTTTTCTTGAATTTACTCCGTTGAAAAAATACCTATGGAATTGAGGGTTTTTGATTTACTTGTAATTTGAGAAATTAGTTGGTATTGTATCTCTTGTGTGGATGTTTGGATGACCATGGGTGGCCGTTGACCAGGTATCGTAGAGTGGATAAATGTATTTTTTTTACTCCGTGTGGGTTTGAATTTTTCTTACCACTCATAGTGGGGTTAGTGTTTTGCAAGGACCAAACCACTATTCGCTCACTAGTATCGAGGCTGAGAGTTAATATACTAT